GGGGGGAGCAGGTGACTGACACCTGTCTCTTTTTCCTCTTTGTTTTTCTCTCAGAAATCCCCTCCCCCGTTCAAGTGAGGGGGGGGGGGGCTGCAGGAGACCGATAAACAAGGAGGCCACGGACCCCCCAGCAAGGCAGCAGCGAGGTGGGGGGGGGGGAGGCAGGATGAAAGAGCAGGGATGGAAAAAAGGCAGGATGACAGAGAAAAAAGAGAAGGAAAAAACAATGTGTGAAGAGAAAGGAGGTGAGAATTAAAAAATGAAGGAAGACAAGCGGATGAAGGGAAAAATATGATTATGAAGGGAGAAGGAGGGAGGGGCTCCAAAAATTAATTTCCTGGGAGCTGAGATGAGGCGGCTTGGCCCATCTCGCCGCGTCCCAGCTCCGGCACATTCCAGCGCGATGGCGCACCGCTCCACAGACGCAGGGAGGCAAGCAGAAAAGTCCGCAGGGACCAGGAGGCGGGCATCGGGCGGGGTGGGGGGGGTGAAATATGAAAGGGTGGGGAATGACGGGTCCTGGGGTCACGAGAGGCTGGGAGAAGCTGAGGAAAGACGGAGAGGCCTTCATTCCGACAACGTGCCCTCCCCTCCCCCAGAGTGTCCCTGGGGGGCTCGGACATGCATTTTAATTAAGGCCCCACTGACACCGGAGCCCTGCCGGTAAAGTGGTCAGAAACATGTCCTGAAGTCTGGTGGGACTGAAAAGTGGGAGCCCCGATGCGCACGGAGGTCTGACAGCTGTGTTGCAGACTGCCCTCGGCCACGACAGAGACCTTCGTGGGGGGGACCTTCCCATGGCACCCATCTCACGCCGGTGATGTCACTTCTGTCTCCCCAGCCGTTGCTGAGAAGAGATTTAATCATGTGGGATAATTACACAGACTTTGCCGGTCTCAGAAACCGCTTCGAGATCGAGGCCTTCCCACAATCCCCTGCTCCGCTGGCATGCCTTACCAGCTCTTCCCAAAGTTTTGGAGAAGGTACGAATAAACACACTGTCATGGAGGAATACGCACGTGTGAAACATGACTGTTCACACAGAACATGAGCCGCCGCCCCAGGCTGTGACACAGACCTCCATGATGAAAAGGTTCAGAACAGAGTTCTGCTCCTCCGCGCTCCTCCACGCTCTGCCGCTCCTGCCGCGGAGCAGAGCAACAGAATCACGACCCCCGCCTGCCAGGGATCAGCGCGGGGCTCTAATTAAAGCTGGCGTGCAGGCCAGCCCCCGAAGAGAGGCCGGCAATTAGGCAAGACCTGGCTCCGGGGGAGAGAGGGAGACGAGGGGGAACGGAGGCGGGGCTGGGGGAGAGGAAGAGGAGAGAAGGAGCAAGAGGGGCAGGAAGCAGGGACAGAGTGCGGGGATGCCTCACACAGCTACACTCGGCCATTTTCACCACGAGTTTGTGTGTGTGTGGCTGTGTGTGTTTGTTTGCTTTTCTGTGAAGCTCTAAAATCAGGTTTTCAAGATTAACACTAATCCCCCTTGTAGCCCCCCCAGCAGACCTCCCCACCTTTTCCTCATCCCCCTATCCTGCCAGTTTCCTTCTTGGGAACGCCGGCTCCGGGTGTCTTAGAGCTCACCCCGCGGGTCGCCACACGCCTGCCGCAGGTACGGCCACCACGGCGACATCATCAGAGGACAACCGAGGCGAGTTGGCAGGGTCTGCCGGTCTCACAGCCCCATGGCAGACCCAGACCCAGACCAAGACCCAGACCCAGACCAAGACCAAGACCAAGACCCAGACGCCGTCTGCGACCTCGAAGCTTCAGCCCCACAAAAGCAGCCCGATCCATCCAGCCCCATAGCTGTGCAGTAAACAGATAAAACTTCATTTTTAAAAAATACTCACACACCTTGCAACAAAACAGCAAAACATAGAACATTCTGACTTCTTCTGCCTTCTAATGCGGAACGGGATGAAACCACTGGGGATCGATTCATTCTTCCTGCGGCGTAACGCGAGACGCCAGAGGCCCCCGCTGCTCAATTAAGCCTCCCTGCCACTCAATTACGACGCCGATTTTGGGGGAAGATCCGGAGCCCCTCTGTGGCAGGATGGCGCACAGCAGTCGGACGGGCAGAAGAGGGCGCCGTGCAACTTTAAGGCACGCAAGCGAAGGATGGAGAGATAATAACAAAAAAAAAAAACTCCTTTTCCGATTCATTCATCTGCTCAGCTTCCTCTGCTCAGACTTGGTGCGCTTTAAAACCGGATTTGTGCCAGTTACACAATGCCATTCCGGGCTAAGTGGTAACTGGCTCCATCTCTAACAGCATCTCTAATCAGACCTGTAGAACAAGCCGTGCTGGTCAGACTGCCACTCACAGGAAAAGCTGAGATCACACGATTAACTGGGAAACTGCACGGTTACTCAGATACCACCATTTCCATTCCTGCTTGCTCCATGTCCCCCTTCTATGACACCGGGAACTAAACCAGAGCTGGATTCCAGTTCCAACGCCCCAATCGGAAAACCTCGTGAAGAATAATGAGGGTAAAAACGTGGAGAAGCCACACCAGGAGATGTAAATGTGGGTATTAGCTGGAGGTGCAAATTTGTTTTCAGGATTTAGACACAGGCCGCTTTGCGTCTCACGGGATTAATCGCGGTGCTGAATCTCCCGAGCCGGACCTCGGTTCCACACCGGTGCTCCTGTCACCCGCTGCTCTGGTGCCGCGCTCGTGTTCCGTGGATTTCCGAATCCCTTCCTCCCTGCAGTCCCGCTCGCGCTTGCTGGTCATTGTAACCGGGCTGGGCATGTGCTGGCCCAGCCACTCGCCTACACAGCCCTCGCTGCCAGCTCATTGTTCTGTTACGTAACAATGGTGCCTAGATCCCACCGAAATCTGAGACTTCCCAGGGGCCTTGGCTGTTTCTGGGATGCATAAATAAATGTCTGATTACAGAAGTACTTTAGCGACATTAAAAAAATTACACATCATGTCTGCTTGTGCATGTTCCTCAACGTGGAGACGGGGGGGGGTGGGGGGCTGCCCTGTGCCAGTCACACACCCAGCTGCCCCCTCCAGCGTGCGCCCGTGTGGGACAAATGCTCCCGGCTCTGCCCGTGTCCCACGGGATGCCAGGAAGGCGCCCGCACCTTTGATTGGCTGCCTGCTCCCCCCCCTGTGCCGCCATTCTCAGCTTTTCAGGCCACCGCGTTTTCCCACAGAACGTTACAGAAATGTGCCTCGGACGCAGTCGAAAAGGCAAACCCCTGTGTGATGCCCCCCCCCAGAAACATGGGTCACGTGCGTCGTCAGTTATAACAAAGAGCCGGCGAGTCCGAGTCATGTAATAAACATCATGTAATAAACATCATGTAATAAACATCATGTAATTAACAGCTCTCCTGTAAAGAATAGCATCAAGCGAGCAGGAATGAGCACAGTGTCGCTGCTTCATCCAGCAGATACATCCGCCGCTCACGGGCATCCTGATTTATCTTCATAAAATTACAGTGGAACAAACTACAGCTTTCCAGGCTGTAATCCGACGACGATACAGGCCGCTGTGTGTGAGAGAGGGCATTCTACCCTGGAGGTAAACAAAAAAACTCATAATTTATCCAACACCTATTTTCCAAACCTGAGTATAAAGTCTTGGGGGATCTTATTTAACCCCATTTGTTAAAATTCA